CTCTCCGCTCTCGGATATTCCTGTCTAAATCCGACATGGCGGAAGCGTATAAACCGTTAGCATCAAATGCCATTAGTTTAGTACAGTTTATTTTAATTCTCGAATGAACCTCCGTTTTGTCTTTTGTGCTTGCGCTGTATTCTTTGAATAAATCAATTATGTTATTACTTTCAAGTTCTGTGTCACTTCGTGTTTCACTTTGTGAAATATATTCCTTTACTACGTTACAAATTTCGTCCTTTTTATTCGTTTCAAATGATTTTCTATTTGCCGAAACTCTTCCTCCTTTGATAGATCGTCTGATAAAATTTCTTATAAAAGGATTAGTGTGCGATTAAAATTTTTCTACGTTTTCTTTTTCGGTGTGTTTCGCTACCATTCTAGTAGTTTCATACCATTCTTCTTCAACCATTTCTTTATCGTAATGATATAAATAATACCAACCCTTTAAAGATAAAGATGGAGCCGTTAGATTATTGGATATATTCTGGTTTACAACTTCTTTCATGACTTGGTTATATTTTATCAAACAAGCTCCAAGACATAGGGTATCCCTTTTTGCATATGGTTCCCATTCGTCTCTCAATTCCTTCCAGTTGTCTTGGGTGTATTTAGCGATATCTACGTCGGCAATCTTTCTCAAATTCGCGGGAAGATTGGACGAATTTCCCCATGCAGCCAAACTAGATTTTTCATGTTGGTAGGAACACGTGAAACTGATATTTTGCAAATAGTTTTTATCGCTCGTTATTTTTTTCTGTCTTTTCCATTTTTTTCTGTAAATCTTTATCGGTGAAAGGATTAGATATAGGTAAAGACAAAATACCCCTCTGCGTTATCAGTGGACACTTTGACAACTTTGACGTGTTTTTAAGCACGATCCAGTTGTCGAATCCACTGCTGTTGTGAGAAATTAGTATTAGTCTCTTTCTATCATATTGACCTAAATATTTCAACATTTGATCTATACAATCTGTAAGTACAAATATTTCTACTACATTCATTAGTTTATCATAAAATTCTACTGGAACATTATCAGTAGGATTTATATTTGGAAAGATATTTTTTATCGTTTCTAACTTTTTTCTTAGTTTTTCTAATTAAAGTACAGGCATAAGGAATTGCTTTACGCATTTCACTTTCTGAATACGTTCCACAATCCCAAGCGAATAACGCATCATCACTCATATTTGAAAACACGTTTAGTTTGAGAGGTGAAACCTGTGTTACTGCGTTATCGTCTCTACACGTTTTCCACACCTGTTCGTAATTGTCTTCTTTTTCTTGAATTCCCAAACCTTTTTGGCTTCTTCTTATCAGACAGAAATGCGAGTTGTGTAAGTAAAAAACCCAATCTAATATATCATGTACGTCTCTGGGATGTAAATGTCTGTTTTTGGGGATTATAAATTTGAAACGAAGTGTTAAATGTCTTGTTGAATTCCTTCATTCTAGCACAAGTCATCACTCCTTTTCTATTTGCTTTTGAAAACCCGTTGATGTATTCTTGAAATTTACACGTTAAATCTTTGTTCAAAACACGATTTACGCATTTGATAAAACAGTGACCATCTGTAGGTATGTAACAATTTTCACTTTTGTATTCATTTATCTTTTTAAGTAGATCAGTTCCTCCTCTACCAACTCTCGATTGGAAACAGCCTTGATAACATCGGAAAATAGGGCCTTTCCTATCAATGTTTCATCGTCTACAAGTTCGATTTTATTCATATTTTTTTAAGTATATATTTTTGATTATTTCTTTATTTTGACCGCTGATATTTCTGTATGTAATTTGTCCAAAATTTCATTGAATTCTTCTAATTCTTCAACTGTTATGTTCTTGTCTTCTCTCGATCTTTCGAAAAAGATGTACAATTGATTAAGATACATATTCAAGATATTCGTTTTCTTTTTATAATGAGCTTTCTTTTTGCTCGTGAAACCTAAAGTGATGAGGCCGCAAGAGGTCGTTTGAACGGCTGTTAATGCAGCCAATACGGTAGGGACGATGACCGGAAGCATTAATCCACCAGTTACGGCCGTTGCTACCGTTACTCCTACCGTTAGAACTGTGCTTGCTGTTTTGAAAACAAAATCGATTCTACTCCATGTTTTCCTGCATGTATTGCACTGTCTTAACTTTATTTTCAACTCTTCTTGTTTGTCTATCATGTATTGTTGTCTGCTTTCGAGTTCCATTTTTTAAGTCGTTAAATTAAGTGAATTTCCGATAAACCAAACCCTTCGAGAATCCTAGCATTAGGATATTTTTGGATATTCAAAATAAAAACATTTACGCGTACTAACGACATTTCTTTTTTCGTATGGTCCTCGTTAAGATGATAGGAATATTTTCTTTTTTCTTTTTCGATGTTTATCTTGTCTCTAAAAATAAAACCACCACCTTTAAGCTCGAAGTCGAAATCTTCGGCAAACGATAAATATACTATAAACTCTCTTTCTTGTTGACTTTTATGAACATCGATTGAGATGTATTTTCCACCTAAAGCGAAATACAGTTTTACGTATTCAAAGTCTGTTGATCGTAAAAACTCATAACTACTCGATTCTTGTAGTGGTGTTGGGTTTTTGATTATTTTAGTTGATGGTGGATTTTCCGTCTCCAATATCATATCCAAATCTTTGATTCAAATAATATCCTTATTATTTTCTACTACCATTTTTCGTTTCAATTTCATATAGAATTATAGAGAAACCGTTTCAAACGACGTATTTACCACTTAATTCCTTTATGATTAAAGATATAAATCTGGAAATCAAAGATGGTAAAAATAGGTTTATAGATTTTGGTAACGAGGAAATTGTTATTCAACTTCATTTAAAACAAAAGAACTAAATTTATTCTGATGGATCATCATCATTAGATACGTAAAATAATCAAAATCATCAAATACATAATTGTCATCCAAACACATCTCATCTTTGTCGTTGTAAGGATACATGATTCCTTCATCGTCCGGTGCTTTTCTCTTAACGAGATTCAGATAACTTCTAAAAACTTTCTTTGGTTTATCATCAGGAATAACTACTCCATTGGTAAAACCTTTTTTCCCATGCTTTATCAAATTCATTCGTTACGTCTTGTCCACTAGCTAATCGAACATAATCTTCTACCTTAATCTTCTAGTTAGAGTAACCCTTAAACGTTTTTATTTCTTTTAAAACACCTTCGGAAGTTAGAATGATATTGTATTTAATTTTTGGCGCTAAATATAAACCAAATATGATTCCTCCATCACCATAATCATTCTTCCCTTTTCTATATTCGTTTTCAGACACCAACCCAGCTTCATTTAATTCATCCCAATTGCTAGACGAAATGTATAAACTATCGGTATCCGTATAGTATATTTCCGGCTTATAAAATCCATCTATTACGTGAATAAAATTATTCATTATTCTTTTACTGTGACATAATATAAACGTGCCTAGATGAGTGGGTGTTAATCGCGTAAAATCCTTTGGAGGAACAAATTCTTTTTCTTCTTCATTTATCTCAACGATATATTGAGTCTCATTTAGTTTGTCATACTTCTTGACGTGTTTGTCGTAATTACGGCGGAAGGTTTCTTCATTCCATAAATGCAATGAGGTATTTCTATCCTTCTGAATAGATTTTCCATATAAGGAATTACCTAATAATTTCATGCAATTACTGGCAACCATATCTCCTTCTTTTTTGTATTTATTCCTTAATTCCTTCAAAATTAAAATATAATCTCTATATGGCGGAGTTTTAAAATTTTCTTCGTATACTATACCATTTAATATCCTGAGTATTTTACCACCAGCTTTAACTATTTCTTGGATATTGACCGATGTTAAAACGTCGTGACAGAAACCATTTCTGAATCTGATTTTAGTGCCAGTTTCCTTCTTTCCTGTTCTAATCGTAAAGGTGATTTTATCTTTAGCTGGTATGGGTTTAAGAACATGTTGGTGGGATATTTTAACCAGACTTTTAAGATAGCCGTTCTAGGTCTGAATTTCTGTTCATTAAAGAGCGTAACAAATTCTTTATTTTCTTCTTGTCGAAATGGTCTACCACTTTCCGCTTTTGGATATTCACCTTCTGTCATAGCGGAAGCGTACAAACCGTTAGCATCAAGGCCATTAGTTTAGAATAGGTCAGCTCTTTGAGTTTAGCGTGAAATTCCGTTTTATCTTTCGTGCTAGCGCTGTATTCTTTAAATAAACCTATTATTCCTTCTGTTTCATTTAGTGTTTCACTTTGTGAAATACTTTCTGCATCACTTCGTGTGTCACTTCTAAATACTCCTTTAAAATGGAACAGATCTCAGTCATTTTGTCCGTTTCAAATGATTTCTGTTAGCAGAAACTCTTTCTCCTTTAATACTTTGTCTGATAAAATGTCTTATAAAAGGATGAGTGTGCGAGTAAACTTTTTCTACGTTTTCTTTTTCGGTGTGTTTCGGAACCTTTCTAGTACTTTCGTATCATTCTTCTTCAACCATTTCTTTATCGTAATGACGCAAATAATACCAACCCTTTAAAGATAAAGAAGGAGCCGTTAGATTATTGGAAATATTCTGGAAGACAGTTTCTTTCATTGCTTGATTGTATTTTATCAAACAAGCTCCGAGACACAACGTATCTCTTTTAGCGTAAGGTTCCCATTCGTGTCTTAAAGGTTCCCAGTTATCTTCGGTGTATTTTGTAATATCGATATCGGTGATCTTTCTCAAATTCATCGGTAGATTAGACGAAGTTCCCCATGCCGCCAAACTAGTGCTTTGATGTTGAAATGAACAAGTCAGAGATATATTTTGCAAATAGTTAGATTTCGGGGAAGGGAGGGTTTGATTCTCCCAAATGTACAGGCCTAGGGTGGAGCAGACACTTTATTTAGAAATAAGGATTAAGGGTCTTGATATTGGGTTTTCTTCTGTTCTTATTCTGATCTAAAATTAGAAAAAATAACTCGTCCGATGGGCGAGAAGTATAGTATCTGTTATGTACTGATTGTTTTTAGTTTACTATAAATAATATTATCATTTAAGTTCTTATTTTTTGAATATGCAACTATCATTTTCTGCTTATAGACATGGGGGAATTTCTCTTGAAGGCTCTTATAGTGGGCATGAACTATCTTGCTTGCTCGATTGCTGGTTGTATTAAACGGGGCAACAAAGGGTGCTATGCCTACATTATGATGAATATTTAGTCCTATAGGTCTCGCTGTATTCAATGTCTCAATCCAATGGGCCTCCCTAGATTGACGGAATTTGGTAGTTTCACCTTCGCGCAAGTAAATTTCTATACGCTCAATTGAGATTAGGGTGAGATCGTCTATTGAACGGTCGTCGAGGTTGAAATGATTAGAAACAGGCTTGTCTTTCTTTAATTTGATGTCTGACCTATGAGCATTATTCTTAGTTTCTCCTACATATTGTTTGGGGCATTTCTTGCATGAAACTAAATATATTACATTCGAATGTTCACATGTTAGATGTTCCTGGATCGGGTACCTTTTATTCGTAGAGTTGCTTACAAAATAATGAGTTTCTGATATAAAGGGACATGTTTTGCATCTACTGGACAAACATGGAGCACTTCTTAAACCTTGAGGTACTTCGGCATAAAGTCTGTTTTTAGCTGCTATCTGTGCTAAGGTGGAATTTTTTATGTTTCGTAAAAATCGTTTAGAGTACCCACGCTCTTTCAGTTTTGAGAAAACAATCGTACAGGCTTGGTTGAAATCAGAAGATCTTGTACAAATTCGATGAAATCGTAAAACTTGTGACTTAATTATACCAGAAAAGGTATGTTTTGGGTGAAAGGAGCTCTTGTGCAAGAGTTGATGAGTATCAGTTTCTTTGAAATACACTTTAATATCCAGTTTATTTGTTTCTGCTATGGAATCTCCCTTAAAGACTGTGGTATCGAGAAAGTCTATGCTTTTGTCACTCACGTTTGCGGTTAGTTTGATAGAAGGATGGTGGTTGTTGAGAATTTCAAAGAATTCCCAAAACTGTTCGATTGAATAAGTCTAAACCATAAAAATGTCATCCAAAAAGCATCCGTAAAAAAGTGGGTCAAATTGACAGAGGGGCAACACCTCACGTTCCCACTCTGCCATGAAAAGGTTTGCGTACGAAGGGGCGAATCGTTTGCCCATTGCTGTCCCTGAAGTTTGTAAATATGTTTTACCATTAAATGTGAAATCGTTTCGACTAAGACAAATCTCTAAAAGCTGTAGAATTGCATCGACGGGTCTGTTTGGATCTGGGTTTCTATTAAAAGCTTAAAGGTAGGGATAGAATTTTATTATCTGTTACTAGTGGACATTGCGTTAGTTTTTTAATCTTTTTTCATCATATTCACCTAAATATTTCAGCATTTGATCGATGCAATCTTTTCCCACAAATATCATCACGGCTCTAGTCATGATTTCTTCATATCGTTCTTCTGGAATGGGATCTGAGGGTTTTAACTCTGGATATATTCTTTTAGTTAGTTCTAACATTTTCCTCAGTTTTTCCAAATTGATTAAAGTACAACAATAAGGAATAGCTTTATTCGTTTCTTTTTCGCAATAGGTTTCGCAATCCCACGCGTATAAACAATGATCGGGAATGGTTGAAAAACGTTTAGTTTTAACTGAGCAAAACATGTTAGTGCATCATCATCTTCGCAGGTTCTCCATACGTTTTCATCGTAATTATCTTCTATTTCTTTAATGCCCAAAGCTTTGTTATTTCTTCTTATCAAACAGAAATGTTCTTTGTGTAAGTAAAAAACCCAATCTAATTCCTCGGATACTTTCTTTGGTTGAAAATGTCTGTCATTAGGGTTATAGATTCGAAAATTAGTATTAAATTCCTTATTGAATTGAGAGATTCTAGCAGTTGTCATAACTTCTTTTCTGTTTGATTTTTGAAAACTATTGACGAAATCTTGAAATTCCTTTGTTAAGTCTTTATTCATGAAGTGATTTACGCACTTTATAAAACAATAACAATCGCTTGGTATGTAACAATTTTCTCCTGCGTACTCATTTATCTTTTTAAGTAGATTTCCACCTCTGCCAGTTTTAGATCTTTTTACTATTTTAAAATTATTTTTCCGTAAAATAATCTCTCCAGAGAAATACCAATCAGAAGCATCAGATTTTTTATCCATCATTGAATAAACACTCTGGAAAGTTTGAGCAGTGAATCCAGATAATCTCATGTCTTGTTTGTGTTTTTCTTTTTGAATTATTTGACCATTTATTTCAATTTGACATTTAATTTTAAAATCCTTAAATAGAATAGTTATTCTCTTGATTAATTCTGAAAAATGCATATTTGAGGTTGATATTTTAATTTCATTCTCCTCTTCTTTAAAAATTTCAGCTATGTCATCAACTATATATTCAAATGTTTCTTTATCTTCTTCGCTAAATTTACTCGAAAATATATTAGGTATTGAATTGAATATCAATGAAAAATATGTTTTAGATAGAGGATCGTTTAAATTTTCAATTTTATCCATTCTTTTTTAAGTATCTATTTTTTTAACTAGGAATTTTTAACTTTTATTGATGATATTTCTACATCAAATTTATCTAAAAATTTCATTGAATTCTTCTAATTCTTCAATGGTTATGTTCTTATCTTCTCTCGATCTTTCGAAAAAAATGAATAATTTATTAAGATATGTATTAAAAATTTCTATTTTCTTTTTATAATGAGCTTTCTGTTTTGATGTAAAACCTAAAGTAATAAATCCACAAGATGAAGTTTGAACGGCAGTGAACGCGGCTAATACAGTTGGGACAATTATTGGAAGCATTAATCCACCGGTTACGGCTGTTGCCACCGTTATCCCTACTGTTGGAACTGTGCTTAATGTTTTGAAAACACAATCGATTCTACTCCATGTTTTTCTGCATTTGTTGAATTGTTTTAGTTTTCCTTTTAGTTCGTTTTGTTTTTCTATCATATATCGTTGTCTACTTTCGAGTTCCATTTTTTAGGTAATTAAATTAAATGAATTTCTGATAAAGCTACTATGTGTTTACTATCATCAATAACAACTTTTACAGTTACTAACGATATTTGTTCTTTCGAATCATTAATCTTATTCAGATGAACTGAAAATTTGGTTTTTCAATAGAGATTGATATATTAACATATGCATCATCATCTCTTATTGCTGGTATTAAAAAATTTTGTTTTTGTTGACTTTTATGAATATCAATTGAGGTAAATATATCATTATTAACAAAATATAGTTTTACGTATTCAAAGTCTGATGTTCGTAAAAACCTCATAACTCATATTTCCTTCTTTTTGTGGTTCTGGATTTCTAATAATACTTGCTGATGGTGGAGTTTGCGTTTCCAATATCATATCAAAATCTCTCAATCCAATTTGATCTTCATTATCCTATGAAACCTATCTATATATTTTCCATTTGTTTTAATTTCATATAAGTGATTATCCTTGCTGTTTTCGTCGTTAATTTCAAATTCTTTAGTTTCTACATTTTTTGTACCATTGATAAACTGAAGAACTTTACGAGCGTTAAATTTTTTTTTATAAGATGAATATGAGATTTGTTTGAAGAATATTGAATCAACTTTTACCTGAATGGGAAAATTAATTTCAATTTGAAGTTTTCCATTGAAAAGAAAAAATGTTGGAAGTTTACCATCAAACATTCCATAGGGAAAATCATTAGAAGAAGTTGGTTTATATTCTCTAATATTTGCTGTAAATCCATATTTTTTATATTCATAATCTCTTGATTTATCAATATTAACAGTAGTATAAGCATTTTCTTTAATATTAGAAACATCTTCATAACTAAAATTTCTAAATGGAAGATTGAAATAATATGGTTCTTTCTTGAGAAACTTTTTTTCTAATGCGACTATATTTTTGTCTTGTTTCAAAACTAGGTTATTAATAGTGGTTATCTGTTGTTGAATAACACTATCATCAATGTTTTGTATTTGTTGTTGAATATAGGTTTTGATTTCGCTATCATCAATGTTTTGTATTTGTTATTGAATATAGGTTTTGATTTCGCTATCATCAATGTTTTGTATTTGTTGTTGAATATAGGTTTTGATTTCGCTATCATCAATGTTTTGTATTTGTTGTTGAATATAGGTTTTGATTTCGCCATCATCAATGTTTTGTATTTGTTGTTGAATATAGGTTTTGATTTCGCTATCATCTATGTTTTGTATTTGTTTTTAAATACTTGTTAGTTCTTTTTGTAATTCATTGTTAAGTTTAGTTTCCAGAGCATTTAATTCCTGTTGAAATGTATCTTCATTTTCATCTGGAATGTTATCTATTAATTGTTGAATGTCTAATTTTTGTTTTGCAATCTTATCCTCTAATTTAGATATTAATGAAATTAAATTTTGTAACTCAGTTTTATTCGCTACGTTGACCAATTCTTTTTGAATAAAACTTATTAAACCTTTTACCGCTTGTTGTAATTTAGTATCATTGACAAAATTTTTATTATTTAGTTGACGTTTGAAGAATCTTTTCACATTACTTATTTTATCTTCGAAATGGTTTTTATTTACTTCAATTGAATTTATTTGTTTCCGTAAATATTTCTTGTGAACGGCGTCATTATCGTTTTCCGGAGACTTTAAATTAGTCATGGTAAAATTGTTTATATCTAAATCACCTTGCAGAGTGTCTCCGATTTGATCCACGAAGTAAGGTTTCGCTTTATTTATCCATGTTGTAATATTAGGTTTTTTAGTTTCTAAAGATAAAGAACCTGATCCAAACTTGTTCGCCATTTTTATTGTATTTAAATTTATTATAATTTCTTCAAACTGATTTCCTTAACTCAACTGATATAATACCCAAAGTGAAAGCTGTCCACGAAACTTTTGTCCTGGTAATTGAATTTGAAAGGAAGAACATTTGATTGGTTTATTAGTCAATTGCATTATCTCTTCGGTGGGTTCTAATCCGTAAGAATCGAAAAAATATAAGTCATTTGAAGAGTCTTTGTATAAAGCAGAGTCCTTTTTGATCGGAAGTATGTATATTTGTTATCGCGTAAAATTTACCTTTCTTATATTTGAGATCATTTATTTCATCTCTCATACAATAATAAAACGGTGATATATTTAACTCATTCGCCCATCTCATAAGTTGAAAGTTTGTGGTTGTATCGGTTCCATATTTATCGAGAAATTCATTCATTTTTAAAAGTCGGTTTTTTGAAGTTCGTTTTGATAAAACCTACCTATGATTTGTTCTTTGTCTTGATCGATTAATTCATATGTGGGAGGTGATGTGGTGTTTACTTTATCAACGATGAATATTTCGTTTGTCCAGTATCCAACGTAACCTTTTTCGAATTTGCTTTTATATCTAAAAATACGAACTCGATTTCCGACTTTAAATTTGGGTTTGATATTTAAATTCTTTATTTCATTTTCGTAGTTATGTTGCGCGTTAATTGACTGTACAATGTTTGGATTACTCGAGGCTTGTGTTGGTGTGACAGTTATAGATGAATGAATTTTGTTATTGTATTCATCTACAACCTCTGGTAATATTTTAAGCCATTTTTGAGATTTCAATTCCGTGAACTTTTTGAATAATTTATTTTTTAGAGTCCTGTTAAATCTTTCTATTACTACAGCTTTACCTTCGTTATGCGTACTGTAAATTTCAAATCCCAGAGATTTCATATTTTTGTTATAAAATTCGCTTCCTTTATCTACCCACAGTTTTTCTGGATGTCGGTTAGATTGTTTCATAATCGTTTCGAATGCATGTTTGACTGATAATCCCGTTTTGTTTTTCAAAGGAATAACCCAAGCATATCTCGTATACAAATCTATAACTGTTAAGCAATATTTATATCCTCTTTCGACTGGCATATTAATTAAATCGGCTGACCATATTTCATCTTTTTCAAATACTTTAACTTTTAAAAAGTTTTTAGTTTTTCGAAATTCTTTATGAATTTCATCCGCCAATCCCATACCCAATTTCATCTTTGCTTTTAACAGTTTTATGATCAGAGCCCTTTGCATTCTCTCTTTGAAAGTTGGATTTGGAATATTTTCAAGTTCGATTATCATTTGTCTGTCTGCTTCGTGTCTGAAGTTTATGTCTTTGTTTTTGTATAGTATGTCAACTCTATTGACTGGTTCTTCGCCGGGTTTGGGTTTATCGTTTTCGTCTAATCGCAGATCTAACCTGGTACCTGGACCGGTGTAATTATGACCGGGAAGACGTTTTTCTCCGGAATATTTCGCCCATGGAAATCCAGGAAGAGAACCCAATGATTTTTGTATATCTCCTGAACCAAAATAAGTTTTTGGAGCGTGAGCGACAATCATTTTTATGCTATAACTTTAAAACCTTTTCCTTTCCTTTCTTCTAATCTCCTGTTTCGCAGATCTCTTATTAGTTGTAATTCTTTCAACTCGTCAGATTGTTTCACTGCGTCGCTTATACTCTTTCCCGCTTGCGCAACAGATCCTATAGCTTTCGCCTCGGATGAAATAAGTGATTTGTTGTTTGAAACAAAGCTAGCTACTTTTGGAATTATTGTTTACCTAGAGAAAATATTGATGAAAAGATGCCGTCGCCTGAATAAAATCTTCGAATCTGTGTTGTTTGTGTTTTAGAATTAAACTCATCCTATTTTTAAGGTTTAGAATTTGAGTAGAAAATTGTGGTCTGTTTTATCGAAAACAAGAGTTATCTCCCTTCTACATTATTTAAAGGTATTTTTAATATGCTTTTTTGATGGAAATTGATTGAAGGTGTTTTTTGGTGTATGAAATGTAAAGGTGTAAGAATTTTATGAAATGAAGGGTGTTTTGCTGTAAGAATTTATGAAATGTAGGGAATTTAGGTCTATTTTGGGAGCTTATACATAGGTCGCATTTTCCCATGAAATGAAATGGAATGGGAAATTCCCATGCGACCTATGTATAAGCTCATATACTACTAAGGGCCTACAATTAAATCAAAACACTGCATTCCGTGATACAAGAATAATGGCTATTGTAGTCATAAATTCGTAATAGCTTGACATTGTGGAGATGATCAGGGATATGCATATGACATAATAGAATAACAGGATTTTCCCGTAGTTATTGTACAGAAGACAGAGGCTGAATGCTATAGTTTTCACCTGGAAATCAAAATTGTTAAAATGCGAATGTGGGCTGTAATATTCAAGATTTAAAAGAGTTATGCGCCTTATACCATAATCTTTACTATGATTACGATACCTTATACTCAAATTGACAAAAGTCGGGAAACATAAGTATTGCATCGATGATTAACTGAAATTTCTTCCTTGGTGGCAGAAATTTACAACTAAATAAAATAATGAACCTATTAACAAATTGAAAGAAGTAATTCATATTTACAATTTTAGAAGATAAAGTATATATAAACATTAGCAATATAGGACATATGTCATATGAACATGGGAAGTAACTCTCATTTTCAGTTCAGTTATAAATCTTCGAGTCAATGAGGTGGAACGCAGAGGTTCTAAGTTTTTACAAGAAGATAAAATTATACAATCACAGTCTATATCTTCTAATAAAACTACACTTAAAGGTTCTACCCAGGCTCGATTTAAAATGTGTTTCTGAGCTAATGTCATTTCAAATTCAAAATTATTACTTAAGGCTTGTGTTTCTGAGCTAAGGCTGGAAACTTCTTTCATGTAAACAGAGTTTCATGCCCTCATTTCCCTGTAACTGTGGTACCAGATCATCCAAGACCCAATCGTCCCCAGCAGAGTATGAAACAAACACGTCATAGAGATACTGTCGTTCCGTCATATTGTTCAAGAGTTTATGTTGATGTCGCAAGATATAAATCTGATATTTGATAAAAAAAATTGGGTGTAACTCTTCATCCAAATTCTTTCTAAATGAAAAGCAATCAACCTAAGATGGTACAAATATGAAAAAGGCACATTATTCAAGTCTATTTCCCATAAACGATAATTCAAATTATTTAGTCTAGATTATCCAGACAAAAAAAAGAAGAATAACCAACTTGCAAAATGTGAGTAAAAATGACTAGATTTATCTGTTCACAAATTGTAGGTTTAAAGGGACCGAGGTTGAAAGCTAACAAACTAGAAATTTAAAATGCCCCAAAAGCCGCGGGATAAGGTCTTGTGCAACGCTCAGAGCTGCTGGTCACAGTTCAGTGTAGGCCTATCTTTTGAGATAGCCCTCGCTGAACTGTACTTCATTAGTTCATTAATTCTGTACCACATTCATTAAAGGGATTGTAAAGAGGTTTTCTTAATGTATTATGTGTATCGGGGACACTGATAGCAACATTTTGCTCCATTCGAATTTTCAACCAGACGTCTGTGGCTCATGCAATTCAACTGAAACTAAGTGTGTAATGACGTCACTAATCGTGAATGGTCTTATGTGATTCAAGCCTATTTTGCGATTAGTGACTTCATCAATGACTTAGTTTTAATGGAATTGCAGAAACCATGTTAGTGGGCCTTCCACCGGACAAACACAAATAAACAAAACAGACATTGAAAATACGAGATAAGAGATTGCTCAGTAAAATTTTATTTCATGTAATTATAATTTGAATCAAGTGTTAATATATCTTTTGAGATTAGTTTTTAATCAAGAATCCAAAATGTATAATATATTCATTAATGCTCAACTGGGAGTCTTTATTCTGGTCTGCTGCATCGAATAGAGACATGATGTCTTCCACAGAGCAGCTTACAGCGATGTTTGGACAAATCTTTTCTGGAGGAGTACTTCTCATGGGGAACATATTGCGTACTTCTGACTCTTCCAATTTTCCATCCTTATTTTTGTCGGCTACTTTAAATTCCACTTGAAATTCCTTTTTAGTCAAAATATTGTCATCATTTTCATCAATTATCAAGAAATCTCTCTCAGCTTGGACAAAAGACTGTATCTTCATTACTGGTCCAGTTGTTTCATTCGTTCTACTGGAAGCAATCGTCAAAATTTCTTGTAAATCCAATTCATTCCCGCTTCCGGGAAGCTCTTCGAAGAGCATAACGATATCCTTTTTATTTAGAACGCGATCAAGGTTTGCATCCCAAGTGTTGAAAATACGACTAGGAATTCTGGTATCATTCGGGTGTGACTTCTCGACCTCCTCATACGTTACTTCACCATCATCATTTAAATCATCTATGAGAAGGAACCTCAAAAAATCCCCGTGTGTTAAAATATGGTCGTCATCATAGTCAACGAAAAGAAAATATGCACGCATCTTTAGAAGACTAATGACTCCGGCCTCGGTTTTGTAGTTGGTCAGGATACCTGAAGAAAAAAAACCAATGCCGCTTTAGGTCACCTTAAACCCCCGGTTCCCAACTAGGGACTAGGGTGTCAGGGGTTTTGGGGGTGGGGGTGTGAAAGGTCCAGGTTGCTGCTACAGGGGTGTGAAGGCCGAGAAAGGTTGGGAACCACTGCATTAAACAGTCTAGAACGAACTCCTCCACGACTTATTTAAGCTCGTTCTTGAAAATTTTGTGAAGCACTTGCCGACGTGTACAAATTGCGTAGATACACATTTTGCCTGTGCACAGTGTAATAAAATTATACCAAAATTTTTAGCTCCAGTTAGGGTCTAGATTTTGCGCTATAAATATTTATCTGTTTGATGACACCGCCAACCAATCAAATATCTTCCCACTCCAGTGCTGGGAGTATGTGACTCGAACAAAAGGTGTATTACGAGGAGCATTAGGCTTAGACTAGTCCATCGAGTCCATGAAAACTAAACGTTGTTGGAACACGCTCTTTTATTGGTTGTTTTGAATTCGCCCAGTGTACTTCGAGAGCAAGCCATAGCAAGTAGAGTCTTTAGACCCTACCTGGTGTGGATAAGTAAAAATAAAACGGAACGAAAGTTTTATTAGTCTAATTTTTTATGATATACAAAACTATGTATGGCTCTTACATGGAAATAACACGCACGAAGGTAGTTAACAACCATTTTGAATATCTTCCTCGACTTAATAAGTTTAGAAGTGGCTTTAAATGTGATTCGAAGGCTTTGTTGAAATTTATAGCCATTTTACAAATTCGACTTATTAAGTTAAGGAAGAGATTCAAAATGGTTGAATGCGTTCGTGTCTGTTATTTCTATGCATAGAAATAGTTTCGTGTGACTTTTTTAGACTGACCTCGGCAACGTGATCAATGTCCATAGTGATATAAAATGTTTAAATTCCAGTTGGCCTACGGAATGGCATAAAGTCGTAAACTAAGTTCTTTTTGCCGATGAGAAATTTAAGTTTCTTGAGCTGGGAAGAGTTGTCACTTTAAAAGTATATTGAAATACAGAAAATAATTTACCTGAATACACTTGGTGTGCAGCACAGAGATAAACTGAAAAATACAGGAATTATTTAGTTGGGTGAGTTTAAGGCTATGGTTCTTCAATATAATATGTAAACAGACTTCAGAGATAATAGAACTGCACGAAAATCGCAAAATCCTTCAAATGTACCCCAAACGATAATTTCAATTTAAATCTAATTTCTATTTCAAGAGAGCTTTAACATTCAAACGCGGCTAATTTTGGATACACGTGAATTTGGAGGCTGAAATTTCATCGGTGAACTGGAAGCACTATTACTGGGTTGCTCAGCTTAAAAAAATTCGTTTCTGAGACTAATGTAGGTCAATCGAAAGGCGATTCTGTCCCTAATAACTGTTGCCGACGTCTGGCCCGTTTACGCCACCACTTTTGAAATCAGATTAACAATTATAATACTAATATCAGATTAATACAGTAATTCATATACATGTATATTACTATCTTACCACAAAATATAACAGCTACCCGGTTTACCATGTTGTCAGTTTAACAGCTCTTTAAGGTGTAACTCAACTTGTGCTTATAGTAGATGACAAGTAATCTGAAATCGCCGACTATACTCGACTCGACAGCCACAACTTAAATACCCAACAACACCCAATCAAAACCTTCCACCTTGTCATTTAAATCATTTTTTGCTTGAATATGATTCATCTAATTAGAATCAATCTATAAAGGGATGTATTCATGTAAATTTTAAATTCTTAAACTCATAACTGTTGTCATTTTTTATAATAAATACAACACATACCTCGATATCGATTAAAAAAATATTTCATAATGCTAGGTTCCTATTATAACGAGTTGCAGCGCAAGTAAAATCCTGGTCCTAATCGTGGTGATCTAGAGCTTATAACATTTGAGATCAGTCGTGTTCATCGTGTTGATACTAGAATATTCTTGAAAAGTTAAAACACGACCAATTAATGTTAATAGCCATAATCGTATCTGACCGTATCGTATCGTAATGAAGCGCGACTGGTCGCTTTTATACTTCAAAATCGAGTTGATCGGGATCGACCTTAGAGAGATGCCAAATGTTGTGCGATCCGCAACGCATCGATTGATCATTGATCGGGGGTTTCTTTTTACATTTTGAAATTCGAATGATTGTATCCATTGTGTACACGATTTGATGTTTGTATTTTTCAAGATCGATCACGATCACTTGAATTTGGAAGAACGCTAACTCATGATCCGTCGCACTTTGTTACGATGCGATCTAGTAAGATGATCCAAATTGACAATTGAGCGTGTTGATCATATAAAATTTGAGCCCTTTAAAAGTTGCTACTCTATTTCGACGACCAACTCTGTTCATTTTTTTAACAGTACCAAATGTAACTACGATCAACACGATTGTGTGTCAGATTTAGACCCCGAAGTCGTCATATTAAGTCGAAATCGTTAGTCGCACTTTATTCATTTGCACTACAATATGAGTTATGGGAGTGGCTTGCACCCTCATCTTGTCGGGGCGCCTGACACCATTACATTGCAGATTTGTTCCGAATAGTGCATTTCATGTTTGGCTGTACTTTTTTAGACCAAATACTGTTGAACGTGAAACTAATTCAATTTCATTTATTTTTATAAGCAGATGTTTCAGTGAATCATTGGAATTTTAACTTCAGAGTGTTATTTTGATTAAATATAATGAAGTACTAGACGTCTGATTAACATATTGTTGAATATCTTTATTATACTAAAAACACAAGATATAAGGCTATATTAATATTACAGTCAAAAACAAACATCAAACTGAATATTCTGAAGTGTACCGGTCGCTTTTTTAAAATACATCTTTTCTTTTTCCTGCAACCAATGCGACACCAAAATGAAAATATTGATTTGGATTTCGGGTTTCGTTTTGCGTTGGTACTTAGTTTATCATATTCCTTATTTCTATTTCATAGAAGAATTGAAATTATTACATCATTCTACACGTGCTACTAAACTCATGCTCCCTATCACACCTGTCACACCTGTTACACCTGGTATGGGTTGTTCATTTCTTATCTCAGACCAACTGGTTGCCGACGTTTAATAGCCTGTCAAGGTGCTCTGCCAAATTGCCCCCCTCGATTGCACGTTTGCCCACACCTCCCCCCCTCCCCCCCTAAATCAAATCTTGCCCCCCCCCCCCCCCTTAGAAAAATGTACCGGTCGTTTATTTTTAAATACACCATTTCTTTTTCCTGAGTCAATAGGAGCGGCAGGTAACAGAGCCTGAGTGAATGGCCAACAGTGGTCATTCTGGTCAGGCATTTTATGGTGAAGTAAGTGCACCAGTCAGCTGCTCTTGCATTGTCGATCATATGATGAGTATTTCGATATTTTGATTTTACGTAACGAAAAATAAGGTTATGGCTTTCAGGGCTGCGTTATGCGAAATGGTTCAACAAAATACTAAGTATTTCTAACTGTAGGCCTAGAACTTTTTTTAAATATCTTTCTGTTTATACTTAGCTGAGGATGAAACCAGACATCATAGCTTTTCATAACATTTTTATATTTAATTACATTAGAATAGATAATTTGATACGGGTTCGTTGAAAATCATAAAAAGGCTGCAGTAAAGCGTCATTGGTAACTGGATACTGGATTGTAATCCGTCCTGTCTCAAAATTCAAAAGATTGGTTGATTATAAATACTTACCAATGGACATATATTATCCTAATTTGGATTCATATGAATCAAACAGCCCAAAGTAGGAAAATGGATAAATATTTGATAAAAAAAAAACCAGAAAATTAACTTGGACGTATTTGTTCAACTTTTTGCCATAAAACATACCCGACTACGTTTAAACTAAAACAGCAATAAAAATGTAACGTATTATAACTTGTGTGTTTTAACAAAAATAATCTCGAATCTAAAATACTCCATGAAAGTCCGTTTCCCGACGTTTAATCGTCTGTCAAGGTGCTTTGCTAAATTGCCTCCCTCGATTGCATGTTTGCCCCAACTCTCCCCGCCCCCACCCCGCAACCCAGGAGTACTGGTCAGGCTACGGGCCTGGGTTTGGTTTGTCAACTGGGCATCCATCAATTTATCCTCCAATATTTCAACAAGTATATTGTTATCACCACTTTAAAGTTTCATAGTTGGTTGAATTATTCACGTTAATATAAAAGAATTACAACAGATGTTGATTTTTAAAAGCAAAGTTGAAAATTGACACCACTAAACCAAAATCACTTTTTCTCTTTTAGCTTTCATTTTTTGATGTTGCCTACATTCTCCTTATCAACTCCTGCTGGTTTTGTAATGGTTATCATAATTAGACAAACAGTGAACTTTGATTTTTAGGAATCCATGACAATTTGAACAAATAATAAAAACATATCTATTTGAGAATAGAAGTATAAGCAAGGTGTACCGCGGTGTGCATGAGACAAATTGTAAATTTTCTCACCCTATCTCCTAGTTGAAAATTGAAATTTTATAACACCCCTTACTCTGGAGCTCTTTACTACTTAAATACTTAAATCGAAACAAAATGGTGGCTAATCCAATCGATTAGAAGTTCTTGCAGTGGAGCAATCTCGAGGCGGAGGGTTAGATTAACCACAGTGTTGGCCTCCTTTCTGTTATCTTGAAACGCCACATTCGGCGATTGTCATCTCTGTCTGGGCTTTGACAGGTGCTTCTGGCACTGAGGTTTTTTGCTTGTGGGTCGTTTCAACTAGTCTTTTCCGACACCTTGCCAGATCAACTTTAAGTCCTTGTGTTAGGGCAGTAGCTCTTTCTCCCAAGAAGTTATCAAACAGATACATCAAATTTCAACACGCAAGGCAAGAAGCCAGTGTTTTTTTTTTATCAGAAAGCGAGGAAATTCTCATTAAACAGGCTCTACTTTTTCTGACTGTACTCGAGTCGATAACTGTCAAAATATCTATAAGAGGCTGGAATAGAGACAGGCATTTCGGACTATAGAAATAAATGATTGCTCGTGTTGTGTAAGTGGTGCTAAATAAACAACTAAACATTAAGAACCATTTGGTGGTTCCTAGCTCATATCTATGCTTGTATTCTTTAGCATGTGTATTCAGATAGATATAGGTTTATGTAGATTTGTTCTCTTCAGTAGTATCATAAATATGGTTATAGTCACAATCCATCAAATTTGCTTCCCGCCTTTTGAATTCGTCGGCGCTTATATGGTGGTAATTATCACTGTATTCACAAAAATCACTTGTATGATTATAATCACTTAGGTCCAGACTTGATTTTTTAGAGTTATCCTCTCCTAAATGATTATAGACGTCAGCACCAGGAGAGTGAAGCTCAAATTGTGTTTCCGGATCCAGGCGTGAATAGAAAGTCTGCAAGCTTTCAGCTTCTAACTGATAATAAACATCACTCACTAAGGGGGGCGGGTCCGTTCCTAACTCATAATAAACATCATCAGTAGAGGGCGTCGGATCAATTGTAGTTTCTAATTCAACATTTTCATATTCAGAGTTAGAATTGGAATTACGACAAGTCTGCTGACTATTACAAATCGTAGTAATTGTGGTATTTTGAAGAGCAATGGGTGCTGAAATTCGAATTTCTCGAGAAACAGTTCTCGGCATGTGGCGCTTAGGTGCTTGCTTCCGATTCATTCTGTGTCTAAAACATAAAAACAATAAACCAGAAACTTGTATATGTTAAACTATTGAAAACGTTTCGTATACTTGGAGATAAAGGTTAGCCCATAGATCAGAAAAGAAGAGGAATATGAATTTGAAGACGACAAACTGAACTAGAAATGGTATCCATATATCTTGTGCTTTTATATGGTGTATATTTTCACAGGTATTTGAAGTTTCCCAAATTTAACACGTAGCTGCTGAATACTATAGTTGACTATAGACTAGTTGAGATACTATAGGTTACAATTGAGAAACTTCAGATACCTGTGATGTTATTGATTTGAAACATACCGTTTAATGAAGAATATAGTAATCATTATTAGAACAACCATCAGTATAACACCACTGACTATACCCCCTATTACAGCTCCTATAAAGAATATATAGGATATTTCAAAAACTATTGATCTCGGATTTGGTTTCCGCAACACCTATCGTCATCATAAACATTTTGTATCTATTTGATACACTTGCGTGGAATAAAACTTTCATTCCTGCTGATAAAGGGTTGAGTCAGACATCCCATTAGTCAGACATCCTAATTGTTAGATATGGTTAATTAGGATAATATGGAACATGTTAAATGGATCAGTCCTAATAAGATTAATAATTAGTAATTATTACAATATATAAAACCTTTTATTTTTATATATTTCCATTTCTTCTATCACTTGTAATCGTTATGGGGAAATGATAACTTCGCCGGGTCATTTGTCTTGTCACATGATAAACCAGCGTTTATTTCCCATAACGATAACAAGATCCACATTCATTCCTTAATTATATAGAATTTATTTTTACCTGAGGGTTGTTTGTTCGACTGATGGTATTTGTTGCTTTTTACTGTTGTAACAGCAACTTTGATTGAATTTGTTTTAGTGGTTGGTTCACTCGGAAATGGGGAAAGAACAATTGTAGTTGATGTGGGTATTGGCTTTTGGATTCTAGTTGATGGCTGTACTGGTGGCGATGGCTTTGTAGAGGCTACCCAAGGCCATATCGTGGATGACAATATGTAATACTCTCTCCGACTAACGCATTCATAGTCTATTTTGGAATAAGCATTGACATAAAAACATTCTAAATAATTTTGTGCAATATGAAAGATAAATTTTGTAATTTTACATTTTTCTTTTGCTGAACAATTTGATTTAACCTCTCGCAGCTCACTCTCAGGGAATTTCACAAAGCAATCAGCTTCCAAATATTGGCAACACAATGACGAACAATTCTTATGTACTGGTGCCAATTGTTGACCGCAACTCTTTCTGTATCCATACACCGCATCTATAATCCATATAACTTTTCCACCCTTACAAATCAGTGTATGTCCAGAACAGGGTTCATCTCCGTCTCGTAAACAAGCTATACTAGAAGATTCTGAAACTAAAAGCTTTTTATCGGTTAGACATGGAAATATCTATTCCTAGGGTTCATTCTTAAAAATGGTATCTCAAAAAATTTCACATTCGTCAGTGATAGCAAAGTATTTGGTATTCCCCTCAAAATGTTACATTCTGCGCAATCGTAATGTACTTTACTTGTACTTGGTTTATTAATTTATGAGAATATATAAGCAATTGCTCCTCCAAATAAACAAGACCTGTATAGAAAACAATTTTAAGTTTAATCTAGAGCCGTGCCACGGTACCAAAGCAGCGTTCATCCAATCTTATACACGCTTGAAACGTTGCATTTTAAAGTCACAATGGGATTTCTTAACGAAATATTAAACATATCGTTTAAACCGTTTAACGTTCGGTAGTGTAGAGACGCATGAATTCGATACCATTCGGTACTAAACGGTGTTAACATTCGGTAGTAGAAAGTCGAATTTTCAAATAGCTGTAATGTTAAAAATACAAATCGCACAACAAAAATGAAAATATTTTTTGAAGGGTCTCGTCAAGCACAATAACTTTTTTTACGGTCAAGAGGTCAACAAAGTTCAAATAAAAGAGATATAAGCCTTAAAAGTGTTGAAAATTGCTGTATTTGGATGTAAAAGCGGAAATATATGTCCGACATCAAAGATCAAAGTATGAATAGGCAATATAGATCAATGACCTTTGACATTGCAAAGACCGAGGTCACGAATGTAAATGGTCAAAATATCAAAATTTTATAAATTGTAAACCTATTCCCTTTTTTAAAGTAAAAGGCCCAAACAAATGCAACTTTATCATTGATTGTCATAAGTAGTGGTTTATTTTTATGCAAAATGTTGAAGTTGACAAATGCAAACTTTTCGAGTTATAACAATTTGAATTATTTATGGTAAAGGTAAAAGTAACCCGGATTTGCCACGCCCACTTTAAAAATTTTGTTTTGTATCTAATAATGTGTACAATGTTGAATATTGTTCAAAATTTCGAGTGTTTATAATCATTAGATCATGAAATATTTGTAGTTAAAAGATTTTTTAGGCGACGATGACTGTCGGTGGATTATAGACCCCGTGAATTTACGCACAGTTACTATAGAGGTCAGTACAAAATTTTCGATTTTTAAAAACCGCAATTTTGATTAAAATATCAAATGTGATATATCACCAGATAGGAGAGCTCATGCACTTTAAGAATATATAAGAAATTTTGTCGTGTGTTAATTAGGTCACGTGACAGAGCTAAAAAGTTAAAAATCGCGATTTTCAAATGGCTGTAGAACCGGAAGTTTAAGTTGCACAATAAAAATGAAGACATCGCGAGATATGAGCTTTAAGATTTTTGGACGATATTGAAAAAAATCAACCGGAAATAACTAAAAAGCAAAATCAAAATTCAAAAATCGGCTACCACACGATTGTTAGGAATCGTTCACTGATAATATAGACATTAAAATAATACAAATCCGATTAAACCCTGATCCCAAAAAGTAGCCTACTTTTATAGACAATTTAGTCACATCAAGATGGCGGCTGATCTAATACTTCCGGGACGAATTTTATCATTTCAAATCTTTGATATAAACAATTCTAGCATGTTGCAAAAAGAATTTTTCAAATAGTTTCAACTTTAAGAGCGAATGACGTCAATACCGGAAGTGATATAGAAATTTTTAGAACAGAATTTTGTTCGCAATCAAAGTGTCTATCAACTCGTAAGTTTTCAGATCGATCGAAATAAAATTGTAGAAGTTGAAAAAAACGTTATTATTAAAAGAAAAAAAGTCAGCGACAAAAGTGAAAATCTTACATCTTTTAAAGTGCTATCCTTTAGCCATTACTAAAAAGTAAAGAACAAATCAAAAATTTCGATCAAAAATAGATTCAGAATTGGAGCAGTAATTCGAAAGACGTTATGAGTGGGTAGGTCCTACGTTTTCATTTCATTTTCGGTTGAGCAAAAATGCAGATAACATGAAAGATAATAATGTCTGTTAATGTGTGACACATGCAGTTTTGGCTGGTCGCTCTGACCAGAATCGGAAAAAAAATAGTCATTTGCAAAACAAAGCAGTGCGTTCCATAAAAACTTTGTTATAGACGAGTTAGTTTCGAAGGGCAATTGTATATGTAGTCACATCATGTGTATTCATAACGGGTATATTTCTGAACCGACTTACGATTTTGAATTATAACATTCACTTTTTTTTCAATTAAAAACACAGCATTGGATAATGGCGATTAAACTAGAGCATTTACCGTACATTATATTAGTAGAATAATCTAATTACCGATCATGGGCACCAAGAACATCATTGGGATGATCAAACAGGCTTCTATTGGATTCTGCATGCTTTATGGAAAACTATATCGTGCGTTAAACATAGAATTAACACTTTTAAAATCCATTATTGTTTAACAACTGGGAAAATCTCCTTTACAACACAGTTCCCACGAGAGGAAATACATTTTCGTTCAACAAAGACTCAGGAATATCAACTAGAGATCTTAGATCCTTCAGAAGAAACACAAGAGCACCTGCCTCGGGCCAGCATCATGAGGTACTAACTGTAGTTGGTATGCAGGACATTACACTGTGAAATATGGACTATATCTCGAATAGACCAGGAACATTTTAAATCATTGTCAAGATAACGCTGTTATCAATAACCTTTATTGATAAGTAAAACTGGTCTGAAGGGATTTCTGTCGTATTGTTTAATAATCTCTATCAGCTTCAAGCTGGTATTTTACATTATTGCACAGTACATGGCATTTTCCGCTTTCATTATCAATATCAGGATCAGATAAGAATGGCGTACATCTGTTTCATTTATTTTATTAGGAGTCAGTCGGTAGAGTGTAGGTAGACTATTATATGGTTACAAATCTGTTAGCAACTTATTATAGGGTTTTCAGTTATTAATTTTATCATATCATTCGAATATTGCGTGTTCATTGAAATAATACAAGAATGAAAAATTCAGTTTTTCAAGAACCTAGCTAGTCTTGGACCAGTATATTGAATTTAAATGTCAAATTCAAGTCACGTGATTGTTTGTCAGATGAATAATTAATTCAAAGTTTCGAGATGAGATCTGTAGTTATTGGTGAATATCCAAGTTCCAACTTTTCTAGAGTTTGCTTTGTTGATATAAGTTTGTCTGCTTCTCTTTTATTGTGTTTTGAGGTTGGTGTATCTCCGATGTTTTTGACAGTCGCTTGTTTGTAGCTGTGTTTGTAGCTGATTGCTGCTTCGATGTTGTCAATAGTCGCTGCTATGTTTGTGTTGATAGTTGTCGTGATGTTGTTGATAGTTGCTGTTGATTGGTGCCGATAGTCGCTGCTATGTTTGTGTTGATAGTTGTTGTGATGTTGTTGATAGTTGTTGTTGATTGGTGCCGATAGTTGCTGCTGTGTGTAGTTGATAGTCGCTGCTATGTTTGTGTTGATAGTTGTTGTGATGTTGTTGATAGTTGTTGTTGATTGGTGCCGATAGTTGCTGCTGTGTGTAGTTGATAGTCGCTGCTGTGTTTGTGTTGATAGTTGTTGTGATGTTGTTGATAGTTGTTGTTGATTGGTGCCGATAGTTGCTGCTGTGTGTAGTTGATAGTCGCTGCTGTGTTTGTGTTGATAGTTGTTGTGATGTTGTTGATAGTTGTTGTTGATTGGTGCCGATAGTTGCTGCTGTGTGTAGTTGATAGTCGCTGCTGTGTTTGTGTTGATAGTTGTTGTGATGTTGTTGGTGTTATTGTTGTTAATATTTGCTGATTGATAAATGGGTTGTCGTTGATAATGTTGTTGATTGTTGCCGATGGTGTCTGCTCTGCCCGCTTGATGGCTGCCGTTGTTGTTGTTAGTTGATAGTTGTTGTTGTGTTGTTATGTAGTTGGTATTTGTTGTTGTTGCTGTTGTGTTGTTATGTAGTTGATATTTTGTTGTTGCTGTTGTGTTGTTGTTATGTAGTTGATTGTTGTTGATGATTGTTGATTGCTACTGTTGTTGATAGTTGTTGTGATGTTGTTGATAGTTGTTGTCTAGTATTTTGGTTGTAGCCCTGGTTGTCAATTATGTCCTGAGCTTTAAATTCTAACAAAATGATGATATCTGTCGAAATGCATGTCTGTTTTTTATTTTTGGGTGACCTAGATCACATTGTATACAATTGTGCAAGTAAAAAGAGCTGTGAGTGTTACCAAACCCATTAATGTTAAATTCAAACAAGTATTATGTGTTGGTGAATACTTCTTATTGCTACTATCCGAGAGTTGAGTTGACACTGGGTTACTCATGTAAACCAACTACAGTTCGTAATCAATAAATTACCATGATGCACTGGTGTTTATAGCCAATGTGCCTCTGGATTGTTCGTCATATATCGACTTTCAGATCCGTTAGTTCGAATGTATGTACTTTTAGAGGTCTTAAATTGTATGTGGATGCGGGTATGAAGGTATTAGTCCAGCGGTATATGTCTAGTCTAAAGACTATAGTTTACCATCTTCATTAAGATCCTTTTTCAATAAAGAAATGGAGTACATTGATCATTTTAATTTTGGTTGCATCAGAGACATTTGCACTAAGTAAATTATGCATTATATTAGTGGGTAATGTGGGTGTGTTCTATTCAACAAACCTTGGCGTTTTGAACAACGTTGCATTTATTTTGAACAACGTCCTAACGCAGTGACAATTGGCGACAACCGCACTATTTCTGCCATTTCCTGCAAGTTTATGGCCACCTTAAAAACCGCTGAGAAAACTTTCCATCAGCGCAAAAAGGTCGCCTTTCTTAATCATATAGGGTAGTATCATGTGACAATCAACTAAAGACAGGATGTACACGTATTCAAAAAAAAAGTTTATAAAGTACGGATAATAAGAACAGGGTTGTTCAGTAATACATTATGACAAATAGGGAAATGATCGTATTGAAACGAACAATTTTCCACTTGACACATTAAAAGTGACTCAACACGGAAAGGAAAGTATTCAATTAAGGGTACAATCGGAAACTTTATTATATGTAGTTTGAAGATTTAGGAGCATATGCAGTGTACTCTGATAGCCTAAAGGTCTCCGAGATTATGAAAAACGGGCATCCTACTTCAGATTGTGGAAAACATGACTGCATTTGTGTAAGCAAAGATTAAAGATTGTGAACAGTATGTATCTTACCACGAAAGCTTAAAGATTGTGAACAACAGCTATCTTGCCACGAAAGCTTAAAGATTGTGAACAACAGCTGTCTTGCCACGAAAGCTTAAAGATTGTGGACAACAGCTGTCTTACCACGTAAGCTTAAATATTGTAGACAGCGGGTATCTTGCCATGAAAGCTTAAAGATTGTGGACAACTATTCCATTTTTAGATGACAAAAGAGCCTACCATAAAAGATTCTAAATGTGAACAACAGACCGAACGCTGTTTTTTCTTACAATTGTGAATAGTATGCAGTGTGAACCGGAAGTGGAAGCGTAAATTTGACAATTTTGAAAAACTGAAGGTGATGATGTAAGTGAAAAGGTGAATCAAGGGATCAAAGTCTTCAAACAGCCAAGGGAAGTAACCTCAGTGAAGTCTGACAGTTGATAGCTATAATATTTGTTAAGCTTTTAAAGAATAGAAATCGTGTAAAAAGGACATAATTTCAGTAAATAAGGAAAGTAACTATAAAACTTTTGTTCACAGTCTACTGCACAATAATTGATATATAGTCATTTTGGGGTCTCATAAAAAATGATGAATAGTGTAAGATTGTTAGTTCTTTGTGTATTGTTTGTGTTTAACTCTAAGTGTAATTGTGAGAAGGATGCGTGTAGTTTAAAACTGTGTGAATGTAAATTATATAAAGTAACCTGTAGTAATCTACATTATATACCTGTACTTCCTAATCAAACCGCTTGGTTATATTTTGATTATAATTATCTCCCTTTGATCAATGAACATACAATGTCTAATATCACACACCTGAGATTGAAGGCTTTATCATTGCGATATTGTCATATCAAAACAATTACAACTAATGTTTTTAATGGTTATACATTCATGCGACATTTACGGCTCTCCTTTAATCCATTAACGATGGATTCTGTGTTAAATTTATTTTCTGATTTGGCCAATAGTTATTACCGTTCATTAAACCTTCAACAGATCGGGTTGAAATTTTTACCTGAAGGAATATTTAAAAATAATTTTACTTTATATTATCTTGACATTTCTAACAATTATCTTAAAACATTAAATTTCACAGAATTTAAATCACTTGGTCTAAGAGTTTTAAAAGTTGAATATAATTCGATCGAGACTGTTGTAATGGATGAAATGGAAAATTTGCGAAAATTGTCATTAAAGTCAAATGATATTAAATCACTTCCAGATTTTTGTCATGATAAATCTTATTTCCCTTCATTGACCTATTTAAATATACAAAGTAATAATATTTGTAATTATGTTCCTCCATATATGAACTGTTTAAAAAACCTTTCTAAAATCATTCTCGATCACAACTGTATATCATTGATAAAATCTAGATCGTTTCAAGAGTTATCTTCTCTTAGAGAACTCAGTGTGTCACAACAGAAAAATGATAAATTTTCCTTAAAACTTGAAAAGTATTGTTTTAATAATTCAAATATTAAATTGTTAAAATTACTTGATAATGCTATCAAAATACAAGAGATTGATCGATTGGCGTTCAGTGGCTGTCATGGGGTTAAATATTTCATGTTTATTGGTAATTATTTGCGAGACCCCCATAATTATTCTTGTAGATTATTAGACCAAATATTATCAAAGTTTACCTCTTTGCGATATTTAGATCTCTCAAAAAACAGGTTAATAGAAATACCCAAATCCATCCAAAACTTCACCGAACTTCGATACCTTACTTTATTTAAAAACGAGATTTTAAACTGGGAAGGCAGAATTTGGGATGGACACAAGAAATTAATTCATTTAGATCTCGGAAACAATTCATTAAGAAAAATATCAAAAGATATGTTGCCTATGAAATTTAGATCACAATTAAAAACAATATCATTTCAATATAATCCAATAGAGTGCATTTCTGACAATGTTTGGCTGATTGAGTGGATTAAAAGAGATCATAATAAATTTGAATATTATCCACTTGGATATAACTGTTTAAATATGACAGAGCAAATTTGTTTAAAAAACAGTCCTTTATATACGTCAATAACTGGAGTTTGTTGTGTTATACTTCTTTTATCTATCCTAGTATCTATTGTTTATAAATATAGATGGTTTATCAAATATCAGATATATATCTGGCGACATCAACCCAAACTCTTGAACAATATGGCAGAACGACAGTATCGTTATGACGTGTTCGTTTCATACTCCGCTGAGGACGATTGGGTCTTGGATAATCTGGTACCACAGTTAGAGGTAAATGAGGGCATGAAACTGTGTACATGAAAGAGATTTCCAGGCTGGTAGATTGATTATAGATAATATTGTGGAATCGATTGAAAATAGTCGTCGTGTTTTAATTATATTAAGTAATAATTTTGCTCGAAGTGAATGGTGTCAATTTGAAATGACTTTTGCTCTGGAGAAACATTTTTTAAATCGAGCTATGGAACCTTTAAGTGTAGTTTTATTAGAAGATATAGACAGTGAAAATATGAGCAATTCACTTCATGCTTTATTAAAGACAACTACTTATATAACTTGGTATAATGATGCAGAAAATATTCACTTGTTTTGGGACCGACTGAAGAATTCCCTTATCTGAATATATTTGTTATAGACTAATGTAAAATAATAATGATAATTTTTAGATTTTAGTCCAAGTAGAAACGCCAATTGTGAACATATTTATGCATTTGTTTTGTTAATAAAAACCTGATAATTTTTTCTTTATAATATTTAATATACTTACTTTAAATTCAAGATAGCTGTAAGTAAAACTGCAACCATTTTGAATTCAAGATGGCTGTAAGTAAAAATTTAAACCATTTTGAATTCAAGATAGCTGTAAGTAAAAATGCAACCATTTTGAATTCAAGATAGTTGTAAGTAAAAATTTAAACCATTTTGAATTCAAGATAGCTGTAAGTAAAAATGCAACCATTTTGAATTCAAGATAGCTGTAAGTAAAAATGCAACCATTTTGAATTCAAGATAGCTGTAAGTAAAAATTTAAACCATTTTGAATTCAAGATAGCTGTAAGTAAAAATGCAACCATTTTGAATTCAAGATAGTTGTAAGTAAAAATGCAACCATTTTGAATTCAAGATAGCTGTAAGTAAAAATGCAACCATTTTGAATTCAAGATAGTTGTAAGTAAAAATTTAAACCATTTTGAATTCAAGATAGCTGTAAGTAAAAATGCAACCATTTTGAATTCAAGATAGCTGTAAGTAAAAATTTAAACCATTTTGAATTCTAGATAGCTGTAAGTAAAAATGCAACCATTTTGAATTCTAGATAGCTGTAAGTAAAAATGCAACCATTTTGAATTCAAGATAGCTGTAAGTAAAAATGCAACCATTTTGAATTCTAGATAGCTGTAAGTAAAAATGCAACCATTTTGAATTCTAGATGGCTGTAAGTAAAAATGCAACCATTTTGAATTCTAGATAGCTGTAAGTGAAAAAAGAAACCAATTTGAATTCAAGATAGTTGTAAGTAAAACTGCAACCATTTTGAATTCAAGATAGCTGTAAGTAAAACTGAAACCATTTTGAATTCAAGATAGCTATAGGTAAAAATGAAACCATTTTGAATTCAAGATAGCTGTAAGTAAAACTGCAACCATTTTGAATTCAAGATAGCTGTAAGTAAAACTGCAACCATTTTAAATTCAAGATAGCTGTAGGTAAAACTGAAACCATTTTGAATTCAAGATAGCTGTAGGTAAAACTGAAACCATTTTGAATTCAAGATAGCTGTAAGTAAAACTGCAACCATTTTGAATTCAAGATAGCTGTAAGTAAAACTGCAACCATTTTAAATTCAAGATAGCTGTAGGTAAAACTGAAACCATTTTGAATTCAAGATAGTTGTAAGTAAAAATGAAACCATTTTGAATTCAAGATAGTTGTAAGTAAAAATGCAACCATTTTTAATTTAAAAAGCAGTAGGTAAAAATGCAACCATTTTAAATTCACAATGGCTATCATTAAGTGAGACGGAATCGAAATCGAATAGGCCTATGTCAAATTTAGTCAGATATAATCGTCATTTTGAATATATGATTCCAATCAGTTGTGTTCAATAAATCATGCTGCTGCATCGGGTGTTTTCAACCTGGGGATAATAGAAGAAACAGGTTGAAAACCCTGTGCCAGATTGTTGGGCTGCACAATAATGGTGTTTCAGGAACACTTCTATATTGTATTTTCAGAAAATTCTGATCACAGTACGACGTGAGTTTTCATACTTTTTCGACAAATCCACTTGTACATCTTTGTTTGTTACTTCAGTTTTTAGATATTTTTAGTGATAAATTTTAAAACAGAACCTGATTTGTTTTTATTTAGTCTTTACCAATCATATCATCGATTAAACGGAGTTTGCTCGTCGATCATTCGGAAATTCTGGGCAGTTTCCGTAAAGCTGAATCTGTTGCAGAGCTATAGCAGAACCTTCACGGTAGGCCGTTTGACCCGTCTTTTTATAGAGTCCCTTCCTGTTTTGTCCGTAACAACGTTTTACGCAGATGACATTCTGCAAGACAAGTCGGCAAAAGCAAAGTAAATACCAGAACTTAATAAGCAAGTTATTAGTAAGGGAAATTTTTGTATTGTTTTTATTACAATTTTATATTTTAACCAAAGTTTTATATTCTTTGCGAGCGGATTAGTCCTTCTGTCCATGAAGTCATTTGCTTGTAAGTTTGGTTCTCAACGAGACGAGTTCAAATTTAAGCTTGAATAATGGTCACACTTTTTAGATTCTGTTTATTTATGATTAAGTAACAGGAAATACAGACGATTCAGATCAAAATATTTGTTTTAATCTTCACAATGTCAAGCTATTAAGCACTTATTCATTATAATATATGCAATAGCCACTATTCTAGTATCTCGGAAGTTTGAACATGCAACGATTTGATTGGATTGTACGCTAGCGACTACAGTCAATCAGGGATCTCTACAGAAAATATGTAAACAATTAGACATTATGTTTCCAGTCTTTCTGCGAGGGCTCTGATTGGCTATATTCTCTGGCGAAGGGCCTAAACTTAAATCAAATCGCTGCATTCCATGATACAAGAATAATGGCTATTGTGGTGAAATTCGTAATAGCTTGACATTGTGGAGATAATCAGGGACATGGCATAATAGAATAGCAGAATTTTTCCGTAGTTATTTTACAAAAGACAGAGGCTGAATGCTATAGTTTCCACCTGGAAATCAAAATAGTTAAAATGCGAATGTGGGCTGTAATATTCAAGATTTAAAAGAGTTATGCCCCTTATACCATAATCTTTACTATGATGTAATCTAATACTATTGTTGACAAAAATATCAGCTTTTAGCATTCAACAGTCTTCTTTTGAAATGATTATACTTTATATGAATTGAATCTTTGATACCAATTCTGATTACTTTGAGGGTCGATTATAAAAGAAATGTTTGGAGAAGCCATTTCATTGCAGCATTGTCCAATGGGTGAAGTTGACTTACTGTATTTATTGTTATTCAAATGTGCACAAAAATCCTCTCTTGACAAAACCTATGAATATTTAAGGTAATTCCCCTGCATAGCTGACCTAAGTCTAAGACATTTCGTGTGTAGTCCACAAATAGGGAAGCCTAATTGAAATGAAATGTAGGCCTATATTACTGTCATCTCACTTGTTGCCTTGAAACTCCGGTTCAGAATGAAAACAAACCAATCTTGATGATAATATCACAACAGTTTTATTTCTTTAGAATATTGCCTTTTGTTAATATCTTATACAGATCCCTTAATAACATCTCTTTACTATACAGTGTATAGATAATTATCTCCCTTTAAATATACATGATTACCTCCCTTGCATACTTTGATATACAGAGTTCCTTCCCTTACATGCCTTACACAGGATTTCTTTGCATAACAATATACAAAATATTCCCTTACATGCTTAAATGTACAGGATTTTTTGCTTCTTGCATAATTTGTACAGGATTATATCCCTTGCATACAATAGACTACAAGAGTTATCCCCCTTTAACCAAACAATTGTGGGATTGTTTGGTTACCCCCCCTTAGTTGATAGGAGGGGGAATAACTCTGCATTCTGTTAAACAGGGTAAGGCCTGGCCTTCTTGCATACAAAAATATACAAAAGTTACGTCCCTTTACACATTCAATATAATACAAAGAAGTTGCTTCCCTTGTTAGCCTTGAGAATGGCCTATTAGGGAAATAACTCATTTGAATTATTCAATATACAAGGATAACATCCAATCAACATATTATATTCCTGTGGGCTAATGTACAGAAGATAAGGGTAGGCAACTCTTTATGTACATATGAACACTTTTTGAACACTGTTATCTGTCTGATACACTGGATAGGTTCTGTACAATGATATTGTATCTTGGGTCCAATTTCACATGGGTTGAAATCAGGAATAAAAAGAGCATCAAATCCAGTTTTCTATTGCTAATTTTGTAAAGCTTGAGTCCAATATGATAAGAAAACATTGTTTATTATTATTATTATTAATTTTGAGATAGAACTAGGTATGTCATTCATTGAAAAATTTAAAGTTGAAGAATTTACATAAGGCTGGCAGTCTACTGATTCATTGATGCCTCTTCATTGTATGATTTAACTAATAGAGCACCTGTTTGTCTAACAGAAAGCTTGTTGAAGATCAGATGACCAGAGTTCCTCCCATGTGAAAGTTTTCCCTCACCCTCAAAACCTCTCTCCCTATTTTCTTATAAACACTATTCTATCTACTGCACTATGCATGGGTCATATTTCACAGCTTATGTATGTCCTTTTTTAATTACAATCTATTTACAATCTACATACAAGCGCATGTGCATGCATTCGCATTTTCTGTTCAAGCACTGCACAGTTTCTGAATTAAGCTTCTAAATAAGCATTTTATTTTACAAGTAATTACAATATGGAATTAACAACATTATGGAATTGCTAATATTATATTATAACCAAATAAGAAAATATTCATTATATCAAAAAATAAATCTTTCATTAATTTTGTGATTTTTAAAATTTCATATTTTTTTTTCAAAACTTTTTTATCAGCAATTCCATAATACCTTCTAATTTGAGCTTAAACATTTAAGAAGACAAGAATTATCTCCCCTTATCGTAGGTTATAAACCCTTGGTACAGTGAAGATTGAACATTTAAAACACTCTAATTCCATTAAATGGATTTGGGAAAATATTCTTGATTTGAAATGTAGAAGACAGTAAAATTGTATCAGCACCAATTGTGGACAGGATACTTTATATGGATGGAATAGTCTAAATTTTTATAAAAGATGGACAGATGATAATAATAATCAGACAATAGTAATATAAGGCAAGAAGAAACAGGAATGGACTGTTTCTGGATGGACCATTGTAGACATTCAAAAATTCACTTCAATTGAAAAGACAATTTGCAACAAGATTGCTCATCTGTAAATGTCTTTGCTAAAGAATTTAGCACCTGAAATTTTCAAATAATTCTAAAACAATCACATATGGAAACGAAAGAATTTAGCACCTTAATTATCTTGTATTCTGAATTGATATATATAGAGTCCTTTTAGTGTTGAAACGGTTATTGACCCACCAGGTAATTTTCAGCAACCTTCTCTTGTAAGAACAACATATTATAATTAAAGGTTTGGTTATCGCATGTGATTTTGAAATGCTCGTTAGACAGGTCATCTGTTAAAACAGTGGTCTTTTATAGTCAATATATATTAGTTCAAGTTTTAATAAGCACCTTTTTCAAATACAATATCTCCAAAAAATACAGAAATAAATAAATGAATTCAAATCAAGAATATTTTCAATCAAACAAACAATAAGACAAACAAGATGGATGGGTCATCCCTGTTTTAAGTCAACTAGTTGAATCTCAACGCCATTTTAATTTAGAATTTTTTTTTCATCTCTGGGTATTATCTCCCTTTTATCCGCATTCACAAGATTCAGGGTCTATTTAGCGCCAAGGTAAACTTGATTATCAAGTCCTTTCAGCTCTGTTTTATTCCATATTGGGCGTTTTCGGTCTTTTTCGTTAATTTCATTTTGTCGAAAAGAGCCTCAAATAAATTTATAGGCTTAGTTTTAGCTAAGTTTCAATTAAGACTTAGACTAAGTTTCAATATGGACTCAGACTAAGTTTCAATTTCAACTTAGTTTTGGCCAAGTTTCAATTTATTCCAAAGGCTCCCATTTGGTTTAGTTCCGTTTCTTGTTTAAGAATATTTCTCCAATTCTTAATATTTTTTCTTTTTTTTTCATAATTATTTAAAATGCGGAATTCAACTAGGACTTTTAATATCACCTCTTGAAAATTTGTAACAATTTTTTTAATAAATAAAGCACTTAGTAACAATCTGCAACAAATTAATTTAAAAAAAAAAAAAATTTTGATTTTAAAAAAGAGCTAGTAGTAATAAATATAATATTCTTAACAAATTCAGCTCTGAGGCCCTCTTAAGGCGTTTTAAAATAACAAATCAAAAATATTTTGATTGGTGAACCCAAATTCTTAAAAAAAAAAATCCCATTTTTTGGGACCTAGACATAAACAGGAGAATTTGGATCAGGTAGAGGGCAGGGGTGACCACCATCATCAAAAAATCTTCGAAAAGTGAATTCGTAGAATGCATGTTCTGGATGTTTGCCATTTTCAAGCTTTGAGTCTGGACGTTTCCAGGTTTCTTCGGAATCATTCCGTAATTTTTCAGGATCCACTGGATCAAAGTTGGAAGTGTCTGTTGGATAACGAATTGTCGGGATGAATGGGGCCGCTTGTTTTCTCAAACCATCTAAATGAATAGAGGAAAAGAAGGCGTGGTTTTTCACTTCTTGAGCTCCTGAGACACCCAATCTGTCCTCAGCACTACACAATAATCTTAATATCAAGTCCTTAGATTCGTGAGAGAGATGGGTATCTGATGGAATCTTTAATGTTTGCTTCCAATGAATTACCTGGAAAACAAAAGAAAAAATTGATACTTAGTGTTCATATTTGGGTAATATGAATTTATAAAGAAAAAAATGAAATTTTAGGAGTTTTACTTCTACTATCTGCACTTAATTGTGCTTATGAATAATGGGCAATGTCAAGCATTATGCAATGAGGGTTATTTTGCAATTTTTCGATTTCCAACTGTCGAAGGACATCATGCATAGTCTGTAGAACACAGGCCCTCAAGCCCTCCCAACTGAACGACTAGACGCTATTTCCATGTCAATCCCTCAGACCTGCATCAGTTACAAGGGGAAACCAGGTTGAAAAATCTGAGAGTTATCTGGACCTACCCCATTATTGATATGAAATAATGAAATGAAATATATTAAGGTGCATCAGCACTAAAATGGGCTATATAGTACCTGAATATGATTAATATGAAAAAAAATAAAAGAAACTTGTTTAAATTACAATGAACTCTAGTCTAATTCATTTCCTACCTTTGTTTGTGTTTCTATAGGTGTGGAAGCATAAAATGGAGGATGACCAAGTAACATTTCATATAATATCACACCAACACTCCACCAATCACATACTGACGAATAACCTAAAATACAATACGTATTGGTTATAATTAGACTATTATAATAATACTACAGAATCTGTCCCATTTTCATGGAAATTAGTTCACATAGTTGACATTCAATACACAAATTTGAAAAAAAAATGAGCCCATTATCATATAGATTAAGCTCTAAGAAAAGCTCACATTCCACTGGGCTAATCTTTCTGACCTATATAAAAGGCATAATATAGATGTCAATGCAGCCATGTAAACCTTCACTGCATTTCTGTTTAATTGAATATATGTCACTGGTACAAAGTCACAAAACCTTTAAGACTCCCCATACCATTAGCAGTAAAATTGAAATTACTGTTTAAAAAAGGTAGATACAGCTAGATAATAAAGTAGCTAGATAAAATAGTTAGATTCTTACCTTGTCTTAAAAGAACTTCTGGAGCAATATAATTGGGTGTTCCGACTAATGAATGAGCCAAGCAGCGTTGACGTTCTCGATTCCTCCTTCGTTCTAATGGTTTGAGAATTTCACAGCGACAATGTTCATCTAAATTACAACTGCTAACTTCCATAGAGTCTTGTCTAGCATGACTTCCATCTAAAATAATGGTAATAAAAGTTATGTTATGATATATTTGTCGTTAAAACCTGTAGTACAAGAACTAATATGTTTGTCACAGTTTGTATAGTATGTATGCAAAAGTATTTTGCAAGATACTGACAGAAGTTTAGCATAAGTGTTTGCTCACTCTTTCCAAGGGTTTCTTGTCGAAAACTCTGTAACTTGATTTGCAGAAAAGTCAAAAATAAAATAGTGCAAAAATATTGAGCACTCAGAAACTTTGTTTATTTGACAAGAATGCTAAGATCAAAGAAGTTTCTGGCAACAATCCTGGGTTTGAGATATCACAACATTTGATAGTCTGCTAAAGAGAATTTAAATAGAGACTTGGCTTGAATTATCCTAGCTCTCCAACCAAGCAGAAAAGAATATTTTATGAAAAAGTTTATGCTATAGGATAATACCTGAACTCTTTAAGGCATTCATTATACTAAAAGGTTCACTTGCTAGAAGCAGTACCCAGTGAAAAGAAACTCATCTCACTTTATCATCAAAGTTTAATTCCTTACCTTTTTGATAGTATTTAGAATTATGAGTCCAGCGAAATCCAGTACACAGTCCGAAATCAGTGAGCTTGATATGACCATCATGATCGATTAGAATATTATCGGGTTTAATATCACGATGAATAAAACCCATTTTATGAACACTTTCAATAGCAAGAACTAATTCTGCAATATAAAATCGGGCTAATGTTTCATCCAAAATTTCCATCTTGATCAATAATCCCATCAAATCGCCTCCAGGTACGTAATCCATCACAAAATATAAATGATCCCGATCTTGAAATGAGTAATAAAGTTTCACGACCCATTCATTATCTGCTTCCGCTAAAATATCACGCTCCGCTTTCACATGAGCCACTTGATTACGCTTTATCACATCACTTTTCCGCAATGTTTTCATCGCATACAAAGTTTTCGGATCTCGCTTCCGCACTAGACTCACTTCCCCGAACGCACCAACACCTAACGTAATAATCTTATCGAACATCAACTTGTCCATCTTAGCACGCTTAAGACGTATGTAGTTCGATTCCTTTTGATGTAACATTCTGCGCATTTGAGTTGCCGCCTCGTCCGAAAGTCCAACTTTTGTCATTTCATTTTCTAACTGGAACCTGCGATGCTGTCTTTGATCATGTGACTTTAACACATTTTCCACGTGTTGTTCCATATAGAATTTAAACGCTTGTGGAGAATAATTCCGAACTTTTGTGTCTCGCCGTAATTTGTCTCTTTCACGTGCCTCTGGTCGTCTTTCAGGCATGGGTGACATACAACGGTGAGTTTGCTCTGGAGCAGACGTATCCGATGAAACAGTGTCTGTGTCAGTATCGTCACCGATTTCTGCGGAATATTGTTCGTTATTATTGTTTTTATTATTTTGTTTAGCTTTCGGTTGACTCGCCTGCGGTTGATTGGACTGCGGTTGCACTTGACGATTTTGAAGCGGAGGAGGAAGAGGCGGAGGTCTCTCTGAATTATTTTCTGTCCATTGAGAACTTGTCACACCAGATTGAACATTCATGGAAGGTTGAGCATTAGTATAGGGAATAGATTGAGGAAGTTTGGTGGACGGTAACTGGCCTGGGGGGACAGTCACCATGTGATGAGGGTGGGGATAAGAAGGGTATTGAGGAGGGGGAGGGGTATGAGTTGTCCCCTGTGGTTTTAAAGGCACTCGAGGAGGTACTGGGGGTTGACCTTGGTTTTGTATATGTCCGTAAGTAGTATACGATCTACCTGGGTATGGGGGAGGGGGTTTGTCCGGTATATCAGAGTTGGTTGACGGAGATGATGTGGTCGATAACACAGACAGTGGAGATTGATTTGTAGCGCGGGAAACTGGAGAATCCGACCTTGGAGTTGACCCTGGTGTATCTGGCCATGACCTTGGAATATAAAAATCATAATTTGGTGGTAAATTCTGTTGAATATTCTGCACTTGAACACTTTGAATGTGGTTTTGCGGATTATGGCTGGTTGGATTTTGAATATGAATCTTGATCTGGGCTTGCTGTGAAGCCAAGGCTTGTAGCTGCTCAGGGGTCAACATATTGAGTCCATTTTGACCTTTGAGTTGAATTTGAAGCTTCCGAAGATTGTTGTTGTTTGCTTGTTGTTGAAGAACAGGAATATTTTGAGCATTATTTCCATTGACTTGAGCCTGTACGGAAGATATGTAATTTTGATTGGATGTGGTAACGTGATTGTTCGACGGTGGTAAAGTGGGTACAGTTGCTTGCTGCGGAACTGGTTTCTGAACTTCCTTACTCTTCACAGAATGCATTATGATTGGAGGATTAGTAGCTCCCATGGCTCGTACAGATGTTGGTGCAGGAACATTCGTCATTTGAATATTCATCTGTTCCATTTGGCTGGTCATTAAATTCATATTTCTGGTGACATCATGTTCCATAGCAACCTGTGATGGAATAAGGTGCGAATGTTCATGGTGATTTTGACCTTGGATACGAACCACTGTTTGAGTTCCACGTGACGGACCTTGGTTTATTTGTGATTTAGGATGCGGTAAATTGATAGTCACACGAGGGGGTAGCCCTGATGTTTGAGAAATGGTGTTGGTTGTTCCATTGTGCGTTAATGTGGTACCCCGTGGTATTTGATGCATGAGAGCAGAAGTGTGTCCATTATGTCCGTAAACCTGTCGACTGAGTGACGTCACCGGAGAAATGCCTTGTGACACAATTTGATTTGCACCATTTGTAAGTTGCATCTGAGATTGAGGCTGCGACTGCTGCTGCTGCTGCTGCTGCTGTTGTTGTTGAATAAAATGCGTTCTGTAAAGAGCCTGTTGATTGGCTGCATTTTCGCGTTGAACTTGAATCGGAGACATGACCTTAATCATATGTTGAACATGGCCTGGTTGAATTACAGCAGGCTGTGGCTGAGACGTTACTAATCCTTGACCCATTTGACCTGGATACGACACTGGTATTATCTCCCCTTGGCTATTAGGTGGTGGAGTTTGTCCTCTAGGTGGCGTTTGAGGAGGAACTATTGGTGCTCGAGGAGGTAATGGAGGAGGCGTCTGATGACCATTGGCCATTGGTTTTAAATTTTCGATCAATATATGACGCTGATGAACGTTTCCTATTCCAGGACTGTCAGAACGAACACTGTTGGTATCAGAGGCTGCAGGACTGCTTGGACCATATTTACTTTCAAAACTTTGTTTACGAATAACTTTAGGATATTGTCCAAGACCTGAAATTTAAATAAAAACTAAAGTTGATTATTCAATTTACAACATGAATTATAGAGGCAATTCACATTTCTGAAGATGAGGACAGACGACTTGTACCAAAATCTGGTAACCTTAAATAAGGCATATGATTCAACCTAGCATCAAAGAGGTTTGTTCAAGAATCATCTTGCAGACAATTAGTATTTTATTTTAAGAAATTAGGTTGCTTTTCTTTTGTGACAATGGACAGCACTTTAGTTTGAATCTTTAGAGCAAGAGTAATCACCAGCTTCCACATAGTTCACTGGGCCAATTGACAGTAGCGGTATGAAACAATACATGTTTACTTGAAACAGCAGAAATACTGACAAACAGAAATATTCTTACCTGCTGTTATTTTGCTGTTACCATTCCTGCCCTCTATATGTTTCTTTAACTTATTGATGTTTTCTAGAGTTGGTTCTAAGTTCCTATTATAAACCAGTTTCATTAAACTCTCCTGTAATATACAAAGATAGTCAAATTTAACTTATCAAATTCATAATAATGACGCTAACCTTCAATTGATCTTTTTGAAAAGGGGTGCAGAATATTCATCAGAGATCAATGCTATCTTATGTGCCAAGTGATACTTCATTGAAATGATGGGTTCTTATCCTGGTTGCTTAGGTATGGTTTCTTTGAGTATATCATATGACCCCAATGTGGACAGCCAGAAATGATAATCTTAGAAAGATCATTGCTGGTCAGGTTCTTTACAACTCTAGTCTAATGTAAGGAATCACACTTTAACATACATTTAATGTTAAGAACACAATATCATTAATACAGTTATTATCACACGTTATATAATACAGTTATTATCACACGTTATATAACTGGTGTATACAATACAGTCAACAATCATACAAACACCACAATGAATTGAAATGACATCAAAATGCCCCCAGATTCAATCCACAGATAATAAATTTTGGTTTTGGCTAATCATACACAAAATTAAATGGCAAATTGGGCATTTTCACCTTCAAATATTCATGCAATATTGTTTAATGGATCTGTGGCAATACGTCCCTTTAAACTATTTCAATACCACCATACAATATCAATAAATAAACAGACAGTAGGGAAATATCAATATGAATAAAAACTACCCCACCTGGTGCATTCCCGGCTTTATTCACGTATTTACTGGTTGACCCCTTAAATACTGCCAAGCCCCTTTTTATATTCACCACTAATAACTGGATGTTTAGGTCATACCTATCAAATACCTATTTACTTTTCATCTACATATCTCAACAATTCATAACCTATTTTTCAGTGTTCTTCAGTTTCTTAAAGTAGTTATTTTATCAATAGATGACAACTTGGCTAACCTTGAAAGTACTGACTGACTTTGATATATTAGCCCAGAGAAACTGTGCAAGTCAGAAGTCAGGTCCAATAGCAAACTTAGTCATCCTAATGAAGGCATTTTATTCTCTGTCTATAAAGCAATATTCCACAGTTCAATTCCAATTCTCAATACACATGATGGAAGTCTAAGTTTCTTTTACATTTCTTTATAGTTAGATGTTTATCTAATATTTTAGCTAATGGTATATGCCAATATGACTGACTCAGAACTTAAACTGAGATGTGAACAGAGATTCTTATTGACAAGAGAGCTCATGCCTGCTGCTGCTGGTTTTGAACAATCCTCATTGTGACAGCTTTACAACTGGAGATTAACCTTCCAATATTAGGACCTTAGATGTATTTTAGCAATTGCACATTTTACAAATCTGACTTTTTTCAAATTAGGTTGAAAATGAATGTTTGAATGTCTACAGCAGCCATATTTCTTGATATTTAAAAACTATCTGTCTCTTTAAACTTTCAACATATTTTATTATAAAACCATCTGTTGCATATATTTAGAAGTTAAAAAAACCACAGTCAAATATATAATCAATGTTTTCAATCAATTTCTATACACTAAGCCTTAATAGTATATGATATTTCTCTTTCCTTTGAGAATTGGTATAAATGATGCTAAAAATATACAAGATTTAATCATGAAACGGGCCTCTAGAAACAATTTTGTTACTAATTAAGGCACAAAAACAGGACACAATATTTAGATAGGAATTTTATCTTAATAACTTTCCACATTCTAGAAGATAACAATCTGTTTATCAAACAATGATAAAGCATGATTTAGTACAAATGATCAGTAAAATTATTAGACTACTTACTTATCATATATTCTAGATCATATATTCTAGATGAAATTTGGTGATAAAATCAATGATATGAATCATGTTGTTGTTAAAATGTCCAGGCTTAATTTAGTTGATACTGACATTCTTTGAGAAAAATCTGATTTCAACTAATTTTTGAAAGTAATTCTGACGAACTACATGTTGATGGTTAGGGAAATTTTTGAGGCACTATCTTTCAGTCATATGAGTTTCTTTTATGCTAAATGTGCCTTTTCTGAAATTTAACCTTAAATAGGAAACTGGTTGGGAAATTGGGGTTAAAATTCCCATTATTTAAACTCAATATGTTTCAGACATGAAAGCCAACTTACTGAACAAAATTGAGGTACTCCCTTTAATCTAAAGAATGCAAGAGGTAGTTATAAATACCCTGTGACCTTCAGTTCTTTAGATCAACATGTTATAATATTACTTATTTACTCTATATAATATAGATAAGATACAGATAAACACAGGCTACTAGAAGATAAAACAGACCCCACACAGGAAAAGATGTCAAGCCAAAAGTTGACAAGCCAAAATTTACATTAGGGCTCTTGAAATGTTAATCTTTGAAACAAATCCTCTACAGGCCATAGGTCAAATTCACAAGTTGCAAACAGAACCAGTTGTCAGGAACATTCAACTCTTAACTGTTATCATGATTTGTAGGCTATCACTGTCTTTAAAACTTTCAACGAAGTTATATCATAGAAACAATCATCATTCTCAATCAGACATCATTAGTTATCCCTTAATGTCTTTTTCTAAACACTTCAATCAGTTTAAACTTAATCTCTTCAATTGGATTTGATTTCAAGCAGCAAACTAACTGATCTTAGTAGAAATGTTATTGATCTTGATTTTAACTGATAATGAGTAGGTTTGAGGGTGTCATAAGCTCTATCACTCAATGCCACTCTGTTATTTTTGCATCCCTACTGGAGAGAA